CAGGGTTGGGGGGGGACGGGAAGGACGGCGGGGCCCGGGGGAGCCGCGGCTCGGGAGGAGCTGGGCCCCCGAGACCCTCCTTTGTTACTCACACTGGGGGGCGGAGCTGCGCTGGGCTGCAGCGATTAGCCCAGGGCCTGGCACAGGGCAGTCCTGAAAGTGTCGGGGTCTGGATTGCAGCTCAGGGCTGGAGGGAACAGGAGCGGGCGTGAGAGGGAACTGGGTGAGGAGGTAACTGCCCTTAAGCGCCTGCACTGCCCAGAGGCCTTGCCATCCCTTCCTTCCCGCCGGGGTTGCGGAGTGGGAGTGTAATCCCAAAGAGGCGGAGGCGGGACGCGAACCTATGACGGTTCACTCTTGACCCACAGCAGTAAACTGAGGAGAAAGGGTGCTTGAACCAGACTTTGAGAACTGGGCAGCGTTTGATGGGTAGAGTACCGAGGGCGCTTTGCCCTCTTTAGCTGTTAAACCGGGAGCGTTCCATCCGCAGAGGCCACGCCTTCCTCCTCCATAGAAATGGCTGGACCTACCAGAGCTAGAAACTAATCTGGAAGTAGTGGTTTGAAGTCTGTAAAGCAATTCGGAGTGCCGGTTACAGATACCCTCACCAGGAACTCTCCAAGTAAGGGTGTGTGTGTGTGTGTGTGTGTGTGTGTGTGTGCGTTTATGGTTTTTGCCTAGGGTGCGTGCACTGTAAGCATTTGTCTTCTTTCACAGGTGAAGAAACTGCGTCAGTTTATTTAGACAGGAATAGTGTCATCCTTACTAATGAACAAATCGTGTATTTTTAGGATACCAGACTGCCCACTGCAGGTGAAATGGTGGTTAAGGCGTTGGACTCCCATGTGGCCAACCTCAGTTCAAATTCCAGACCTGGTGGGTTGCTTTCTCATTTTCCCTTTTTCTCTCCCTCTGGTTAAATTAAAAAATAAAAATAAGGGACCACAGACGGCAAGAAGAGAAAACGGAGGGGTGGGCTTGGGGAGGGCCCACTGGGCTCGGCTGGACGAACTTGGGCGCCTTCCATGGAGGGGCCCCAGGAGCCCCCGGTGGATGCTAAATCCAAGGTCACCAACCAGCTCATAGATTTTCAGTGGCAACGGGATGGCCGTGAGCTCCGAGAGTTGCAGATCCCTTAAATATCCGTATGTGGCAGTGCTAAAAGTGGTGGGTAGTTCACAGCAAGCAAAGAACAAGTGCTTTAAAATGACACTTGCACAGACAGTGCAAGGAAGTCACCGCAGTTATTGACACTGTCTCACAGCTGGTTATCTGGCCGAGAACCTGCTGTCGTCATGCGTAACACAGACTTCACTTTCTCCAGTAACATTGCCTAAGGATCAAAGGATATTTATTGAATGAAATTACACTGTGGTTTTTCTTTTTTTTTTGGAGACGTTTTTCACTATAAGGTGCGTGCGCTCACCAGAGAGACAGAAAGCAAGAAATCACCCCCCGGGGGAATGGCCACGCGGCGGGATCTTGGGCACGCACGCACACACGCCCAGTGTGAATTTTAAGCCACCGGGTCCAGGACGCGAACCGCGGTCGACTACATGGGAGTCCAGCGACATAGCCATTACGCTAACTGCTGGTCCCCCGGTTTTTCAGTTTTTTGAAATAAGTCAAACAAGCTGAAATTAGTGATGATTGTGCAACCTTGTGAAGGTGCTATACATGACTGAACTGAATGCTTCAAATGGTGTGCTTTGTGGTTTGTGAATTATATCTCATAAAAAAATGTCAAAGGAACAGAAAAGTTAAAAGAACAGAAGGCAACACGAGTTTATGTATTAGAGCAATAGTTTTAAAATGTCTTGGTATTGGAAGCATTTTATGAAAAAAGGTCTTACCTGGAGTCATATATATAAGATGTATGTACTGATCCGTTGTGGTTCATAAGCATGAGTAGTTTTTCACACCGTTATGTGAGATGTGCCTCTCTCAAACATTGTTACTACATTGGCACTGTACTTGTCTGATGTAAGAAATAAATAAATCATATATAGAAAAAAAATTTTTTAAATAACAAAAAATTAAATAAATAAGTAATTTTAAAAAGAATTATTCATTTAATTTTATATATTCATTTATTTATTTTAATTCAACTAGAGAGAGATCCCGAGAGAGGGAAAGTGAGAAAGCAAGCCAGCAGATCCAGGATTTGAACTGTGGTCACCCATGTACCCATGTGGGAATATCCAGTGTCTTAACCACCACACCACCTGCTGGCCCCAATAAGTAATTCTTTTTTTTTTTGGAGAGGTTTTCGCTATAGGGCGCGTGTGCTCGCCAGAAGACAGAGACAGAGAGACAGAAAGTGAGAAATCACCCCCCCAGAGGGGATGGTCATGCCACAATCCCTCTCCTCCATTCTTCTCTTGGGATCTTGGGCATGCACACACACGCACCCGGCGTGAGTTCTAAGCTATCGGGTCCGGGACGTGAACCGCAGTCGACTACATGGGAGTCCAGTGACATAGCCATTACGCTAACTGCTGGTTCCCCTCAATAAGTAATTCTTTAAAAAAAAATAAAAAATAGAATACCAGAACACCTAAAGGTGAGCATAAATCTCCCAGGTTCAAACACCCAGTGATGGCATCACCTGAGTTCCTGGCTCCTAGTTTAAGACACAATACTTGGTTGGATCTGTTTGCCCAACCCCAACTACCAAAAATCAATTCCAGCAACACATAACACAATGGCACAGCCGTTTTTGTTGGTTTTTTAGTTTTAATTTTTATTCTATTTTGTCCTTTAGTTTCTACTAAAGGGGGTATGTGTTCACTGGAGAGAGAGAGGGAAAAAAAAGTGAGAAGTCACCTGAAGAGGGGATGGCCATGGTGCAAGTCCTTCTACTTTCCTCCATTGTCTTTTTCAAGACTTTGGGCATGTACACCCTTCCAGCATGATTCTCAAGCTGCTGAGTCATGTGGGATTTTGCCACCTTTTTAAAAATTTTTAAGCAGTTTTTGCCTTATGGTGCATGCGCTAGTCTGGTGGCACAGAGACAGACAGAAAGACAGAGATGGTAAGAGGGAAAGTGAGAAATCAACTTTCAGGGGGGATAGCCACTCCCCAATCCCTTTTCTTCCATTCTCAGGATCTTGGGCACGCACACACACTCGCCTGGTGTGATTTTGAAGCCACCGGGTCTGGGACTCAAACAATGGTCAATCTTGTGGAAGTCCAGCAACATGACCACTATGCCATTTGCTGTCCCCAGGACTAAGCCACCTTAACCTCCAGGCTGCCTACGGGCCCTTCATTGCTATTATTTATTATCATTAAATAATTACTTTTATTATTTAACATGTGGGGGTCCGGTGCCCTTAACCACCACACCACCTGCTGGTCCCTCATTGTTATTCTATTTATTTATTAATATTCATTTTTTACAAATCTGCTATTTGTGGTAATAAAATAAAATCAGGGACCAGCAGTTAGCATAATGGCTATATCGCTGGACTCCCATGTAGTTGACTGTAGTTCGCGTCCCGGACCTGGTGGCTTAAACTCACACCGGGCGTATATGTGTGCATGCCCAAGATCCTGAGAGGAGAATGGAGAAGGGATTGCAGCATGGCCATTCCCCCGGAGGGTGATTTTTTGCTTTCTGTCTCTCTCTGTCTTTCTGGCGAGCACATGCGCTCTATAGCAAAAACCTCTCCCCCCCAAAAAAAAATTAGGTGACACCTAATTTAAACATTAAAATAGTTCATTGAAGGATAATCTACAACACAACATGATAAGCCTGTCAAAATAAAATAACACCTTTTTTCCCCCCAAGTAGAGAGAAATAAAGGCATGATTAAAAATCATGGTCAACAATCTGCCTCACTGTTATTTTTTATTTATTTATTTTGCTGGAGAAATTTTTTGCAATAGGGTCCAAGTGCTCTCTGGAGACAGAGAGAGAAAGAGAGACAGGAAATGAGAAATCACTCCCCGAGGGATGGCCATGCCACAATTCCTTCTTCATTCTCTCGGGATTTGAGGCACACATGCATACATGCCTGGTGTGAGTTTGAATCACCAGGTCTGGGACTTAAACTACAGTCAACGAGGTGGGAGTCAGCAACGTAACTCTTACACCATCTACTGGTCCCAATTCTTTAAAAAATATATACTTCTGGGACCAGCAGTTGGCGTAATGGCTATGTTGCTGGACTCCCATGTAGCTGACCACAGTTCGAGTCCTGGACCCGGTGGCTTAAACTCATGCTGGGCACATGTGCATGTGTGCCTAAGATCCAGAGAGGAGAACAGAGGAGAAGGGATTGAAGTGGGGTCATCCCCCTTGAGGGGTAATTTCTCGCTTTCTGTCTCTCTGTCTCTCTTTGGCAAGCGAACGCGCCCTATAGTAAAAACCTCTCGGGAAAAAAAAATTATATAAAAATATATATTTCTGACTAGCTTGGGCTGGTCCAGCTGGGAGGTGACCTTTATGGAGAGAAACTGTGAGGGACCAGCGGTTGGCGTAATGGTTATGTCACGGGACTCCCATGTAGTCAACCACAGCTTGAGTCCCAGACCTGGTGGCTTAAAACTCACGCCAGACCATGAGCATGCTTGCCCAAAATCCCGAGGGGAGATAGGAGAAGGGATTGTGGCGTTGCCATGCCCCCAGGTGGTGATTTCTCTGTCTCTCTGGCAAGCATACGTGCCCTATAGCAAAAATTTTCTCTCACAAAAAAACACAAAACTGTGTTAATAGGCTAGAGTTGATTAAGTTCAGAAAATGCCAATTGTTTCGAGTTATCAGAGTGACAATTAATTTGAGGGTATTAGGGATAAATAATGATTTTTTTTGTCTTTCCTATTGACAGGTCTACCTTCCAGCAAACTATTGGAAGAAACATGACAAAAGTAAGTAGAAATTTTGAAGTATTAGTTAAAAGGACCAAAATTGTTCCTTCATAGAATAATGGCAGTTAATTTGGTGATGTCATTTCCAGATGTGCAAAGTTAATCAGAAGGCGCTTTTCAAATACCCATTTTTGAGGAATGTATATTTTAAGACATGCAGAGAGGTGTACCTAGGTGGCACTCCATCACCATGAACACTGACAGAGTTACCACAAGGTGTCGCTTTCCAGACCCTGCGGCCCTGCGGAAGGAAGGGGAGCCAGTGCCCTGAAGTGTGTGCTCTTCGCTTGGTGCTGCAGGGCTACATGTTTTTCATTACCCTGTACCCTTGTGTCACCTCAGTTATCCTCACAACCAACTTAAAAGGCAGGAGGAGCATGCCATCCCGGTGGCATGGTGGTTAAAGCACTGGATCCCAGAAGGCCGATTGTGAGTCCCAGACCCAGCGGCTTGAAAAACATGCTGGGACCAGCAGATGGTGTAACAGTTACATCACTGGGATCCCACATAGTCGACTGCAGTTCGAGTCCCAGACCCAGCGACTTAAAACTCACACCGGGTGCATGTGTGCATGCCCAAAATCCCAAGGGGAGAATGGAGAAGGGATTGCGGTGTGGTCATCCCCTTTGGGGGGCGATTTCTCACCTTTTGTCTCTCTCTCTGGTGAGCACACATGCCCTATAGCAAAAATCTGTCTCAAAAAAGAAGAAAAGAAGAAAAAACATGCTTGGGACCAGCACTTAGCGTAATAGCTATGTCGCTGGACTCCCATGTAGTCGATCGCAATTCGAATCCCGGGCCCAGCAGCTTAAAACTCACGCCGGGCGTGTGTGCGTGAGAATGGAGGAGAAGGGATTGCAGCGTGGCCATCCCCCCTGGGGGTGATTTCTCGCTTTCTGTCTCTCTGTCTCTGTCTGGAGAGCGCACGCGCCCTACAGCAAAAACCTCTCAAAAAAAAAAAAAAAAAAGAAGAAGAAAAGAAACATGCTGTGTGTGTGCGTGTGTGTGTGTGTGTGTGTGTGTGTGTGTGTGACTGTGTGTGCGCATGCGTGCCCAAAATCCCGGAAGGAGAATGGGGAAGGAGAGATTGCAGCGTGGCTGTTCCCCCTTGTGGGTGATTTTTCACTTTCCCTCCCTCTCTTCCTCTCTGTATTTTTCTGCTGAACACATACACCTTATAGCAAAAACAAAAGGCAGGAGGAGTTCTTAAGTCTTTTTTAGAAATGAGGACATCGAAATTCAGGAAAGTTTAATAAAGCCAGTCTGTAAGCACCAAAGAAACTTAGGCTTTTCATGATACGGTGTTGACCCCAGTTAAGTCACCAAATGCGTAATGGACATCTTCTCCTGGTGCTCGCCTCTTGCTGACTTCATTTCGGTTCACCTTGAAGTCAGTAAAGCAAGCATTAAAAAGAGCTCACGGGAGCCAACAGTGGCGTGGTGGTGAAGGCGCTGGACTCACACATGGGCGACTGCAGTTCGGTACTGGCCTGGCAGCTGGCTTTCTTGCTTTCCCCTTTCTCACTCTCTCTTTGTCTCTCTCCAGTCAAAGTAAAAAATAATAATATTGAATGCAAATTAAATAAATCTTAAAAAAAAAAAAAAAGAAGCTTACTGGGCCAGCAGGTGGCCTGGTGGTTAAGGCACTGGAGTCCCACCTGGCCAACTGTGCCATTTGAGTCCCAAACTCAGTGGCATGAAAAACATGCTGGGTGCGTGTGTGCCCAAAATCCTGAGAAAGAGAAGGGATTGTGGCATGACCATACCTCTTGGCTGGGAGTGATTTCTCACTTTCCCATTCTCTCTGTCTCTCTCCAGTCAGCAAATGTACCCAATTGCAAAACAACAACTACAAAAAAAATAAATAAATAAAATAAACACCTCACTGCTTCATGGAGAACGGGGAATAGCATTTGTACACCTATGGCGATGTTGTGGTCTCCCTCCCTTTATGATGTGATGGACATGCCAGGACCAGCAACCCCTTTAACACAATCCTGACTTTCCCAGAAGGGTGCAGGACAAGCTGTCAGCCTTGTGCAACAGACTGGGTTGCAAGGGCACTTCCTCCCACTGGTGACAAATCCAGAAAGGCCACCAGTGTCCCATGAT